TATATATTATACGTAATGCCTCAAATGAATAAATCAAAATATAAATGCTGTGGTGAAATTTGAGACAAGTGGTATGTTTAGTGACAATGTCTAGGTTCAACCAAATAGGATATTTACCTTAGTAGTTTAACTTCTCTTTTAATAGATGAACATGCTTACAAAACACCTAGTTTAATAGATGAGCATACATACGAAGAATTAGACGAAGGAGATGGTGTTTATCACATTGTAAGTTTTATTGTATTTTACTTAAAAGGTCTTAACAAACTTGCATCATGCTAATGCTATCCAGAAGGTTTGATTATAATTATTTAAACATAACGTAAATTCATTTATGATTAATACGTAATGCATGATAAAGCATATCAACAGTGACACCGTATACTTTTTTAACCATATTGTACACCACCGTATAGTTGAGTATCACATCTCTGATGTCAACTAACTAACAATACAATTGTTGGCATAAACAAATATTCCAAAAGTGGATTTTATTACCAATGTGTCACATATCATTTTAGTATTTCATTTAATTGTATCAATACATATAAATAAACTTAGGAAGGTATTACAGTAATTTTGGCATTATCTTATAGTTGGACCTTCAAGAGGATGCATACATAGAAGTAAAGAATAAAGTTGATAAATCTGACCTTGCTAGATTAACCGAAACTAAGGTAGGGCATATTTCTGATTTACAGAATAATTTTTTTCTATTGGGTTAGCTTTTGTCTTTTGTTTTTGTTTTTGTTTGTTTGTTTGTTTTTTTTTTTTTTAGGGGAGCTCTTTTCTCCCTTTAGATGTATCACAATTAAAAGCATTAGTTTAATGGGCCTCCTATTTACAAGTTCCCTGGAGTTTCTTGGTTGTATTTCATCATCTTTATCATTTTATTATCCTTGCATTTGTTATTTGTTTTTATGGATTTATTGATGAATTGATGAATAAAGAATTGATTGATTGATATGCCTATTGTCTAAGTGCAAATTATGTAATAAGATATTTAAATTTAAAAAAAAAAACAATCAATAGAACAACAATTCATAACATTTTCTTAATGCCATTACCGAAAACCAGTATATTGGGTACCCTCGTCGCCATTTGTTGACCCCGGTTCATCTTAAACTCAGTCGCCCTCTCTTCTGGTAAATACACTAGTTAAATGGTTGGGGCTAAGGTGTGAACATTTTGAGAGAAATTGCACTCTCATACTTTTAAAAAACCTTAACAGTACTATTTTCATAATGATAAAATTAATATTTCAAGAATACAACACAAACATTATTTTCTAATTTAGGGGTGCGATCGCACCGTATGTACCCCCACATTGTATCCGCGCCAGATAAGCATAGCTATACAGTACCAAATATATTTTGATTGTATTTGTTTTCATTTTATGTATTGATACAAAATACAGAAAGTTTACCAGGAATATGTTAATTCACTTTTTGAGGCAATCTTCAGCCCATCTGTCCAAAAGCATCATTTGCTATGCGGCGTTAAATTTATCTTTGACATTTTGGACAGTGAGGCTTCTGCACGTGATCTTAGCGTCAATGATTTGAAAATATGGAAAAACAACAGGTACGATGACTAATATAACTAATAATAATAATAATAATAATAATAATAATAATAACATAATATGATGATGCGAAATTCGGGGCGAAGAAAAAAATTAAACCAATAGGATGACGTGCTTGGAGATCATACCATACTTTTTTCATACTTTCGTGGTGTGTTGTTTACTTTTTTCGCAGCATGCCTGGCTCGCAAGGAGTAAGGTCAGCTTCAACTTCCGTTGGTGACCGTCATTTAAGCTCAGCCCACACGCCAATGCTCGCATTACCGTGTTTTTATTAGTTGCACTTTTCACTAGAAACGCGTTCCTATGGTATCTATGCCATACCTCACTGTGCCAGCAAAGAGTACCGGGTCTTGGGGGATTATTGAAAGTTTTTGGCGTAACTTGTTCAGCTTGATATTATGAATCTCAACATCATCTATTGTAATTGTGCCTTCTACGCGTTCAGCTAGGCGGTACATCGCAACACCAAGAGATAATAATAATAATAATAATAATAATAATAATAACATAATATGATGATGATGCTGATGATGATGCTGATGATAATGATTATGATGACGATCGCGATGATGACGAATGGTAATAATCATGATGATGATGATGATGAAAATAATACTGGTGATAATGGTGTTGATGATAATGGTGCTGCTACTATTAATTATGTTAAGATGATGGTGAAGATTATGGTGGCGATGATGGTAGTGGCAACTCTCTTCCCCCTAATATACGGGAATCTCCATCACTTCCCTATTAAGGCCAGACTATAAAAAATCTTTTCTTATCCTCATCTGATTATTTTTCTTATTTGTTGATGGTTTTTGTTGTTCCATTTTTCTTGTCTCGTCTCTTCATCTTATTTGTGTCTTTTATTTAACGTGCATAGAGACCTAGTATTATGCGCTATTCGAAATTCTTTACCTTCATAATAATGTTGACTCTGAGAATGGCAATAACGACGTTAATGATGAATTGATAATCTGCCGGTGAAAAGTTGTTCTTTTATAAACCACAACTGTGTTAGACTAGAAACAAGTTACACCGTTCGATTTGAAAGATGTTGATAACATTTTCAAGGCTCGACAGGAATTAATGGAACATTTGTTTTATTCTTTAGCTTTGCTGAGATGTTTTGTGTTCGAATCCTCACCCACCCTGCATTCGTATGTGATATCCAGCAAACGCCACCAATTGGCGTCACTATGGATGTCATTTCAAAGGTGTTTCAAGACTCCTGGTCGACGGAGCTCTTTAGTTTCAACGAGGTAAATCGAGAGGAACCGGTTTTTATCATCATCTAACGTTGAACTGAAAATAGGTCCTATTCTTTTTTTACTCTAAATGACATTAATCAATTTATTGGGCCAAATTTACGTGTGGTTTTATTTTCTTGTTTAAAATACAAATATTTGATTATCTCGGTATCATTCAGGTTATCAGTGAAACTGATTATATTTTGTTTGTTTGCATAGTTATTTACTGAAATGTATGTTATCACCATATTGTATTTCTATTCTTTTTTATTTTTCATTTATTAATTCTAACTTTAGAATTCTTTCAGTCATCGGCAAATGTTTGTGAATGAGATTCCTCGGTATCGCCAAGTTGTCTCAAGTTTCTATAGCGACATAAAAAGTGTCACGCCTTGCAATCGCGAAGACGTCATCAACGAAATTCAACCACTTCTGGATGTAAATAGACATTTAGTTACCACTACTAATGCAATTAAACTTTTACATAATATATTAGTATAGCAAATTAATTTTGCTTTTTTAACATACCTTGTCATTAATGACCAATGTCCAGAAATTTTCACTTTTAAACACAAGTATGGTAGAAATAAGCATGTAAATATTCCGGGTTTGTGAACATTCCATGAATTTGTTAACATATTCCTTGTGATGTTTGTGATAAAGTTTTGTACAATTTTGGAGGGCTAGAAGAGATTTAAAACGCTGGGGCGTATGCAGAGTTGGAGTGGGGGTGGGGAGTGCAGACAGTGCGATCGCAGCCCCCTTATATGTATTAAGAAAACTATTGTTGTATTGTATTGTTGATATGAATTACCGGTAAGATTGTAAAGGTATGAGAGTGCAATTTCCGGACACCTAGATATTCATATTCTCAAAATGTTCGCGCCTCAGCCCCTACCATGTTGGGGTTGTGGTGGTGTCGACTCCCACGCACCCCCTACCTTCAAATTCTTCATGCGCCACAGAAACGTATTATCAAAGCACAGAATTTTAGGATGTTTTTTTCTGGGTTTGTTTATGTTGTATTATGTACTGTTAGTTGAGAAAGCCAGACAGTGTGCAATTGTCTGAATTGTTTACTTTTGGTATACCCACAGGTGCTATTGTACTTTTGTTCATTTTCTTATTTTTTTTCTTTAAACAATATATATATATATATATTGGTTTATTTTATTTATTATTACTATTTCTAATGTGTGTATTGGCATAATTTAGTATACGTGTTTGAATTTAAAAAGCAATCGTTTGTCTTTGCAGCCATTCAAAGCACTATTTAAAAAGTCTAGTGTGCTGGAGAATTTATATTCTTTCATTGATCCACACGTTGATACGGTAAGAAACTATTACAGCTTTGTCACTTCAAACCAAAACAAAGTTTACTTCGTTTTGTATTATATTTTACACTGTTTTAAGTTGTTTAACCCTGGTGTTTAGCTCACATAAACGTGACTAGACTTTGGACCTTGTCAATACAAACAGTCCTGGCTGCATTGTAAATAATTGTGTAAATCAACATTGTATTATTTGATCTTCTAATAAACAAAAATCAAAATGTGTAAATCCTGATAAACCTTTTATAAAGTGAGAGAAGTTTAAGTTCTACATAAATCTGTTGACTCTTATAAACCTTTCCTGGATTTTCAGTATCTATTCTGAGGATATGGAATTTAATATTGCTATGGATGATTACAATATGATTTTTTTTTAAATTGGAGATAAGGTCAAAGTAACACCTGCTATCTCCGATAGTTGTATAATAACATCTGTCATACCAGAGTTTTTGAATGATTGTTTCTTGACGCATTAAAATTTACGTCGTAATACCCTTCATAAAATCCCATAGTATTACAATACAATCTGTAAAATTGCAGACAAAAAACATAATTACGATTGTTTTTGTTCATGCCTGCACCTTTGACATATATTCACAATAAATATTTATTCAATCAATTTCCTTTATCATATATATATATATATATATTTTTACAATTCTCAATTCAAAGATTGATTGAAAAGGCTTCAATTACAAGCAAGCTTTAAGTTTTGATGCCCTACAAAGAAAGAACAATAATAACTACAAAATAAAAAATAAAAAGATAATAATAGAAGACGATTCATTTATAAATCAATATTCTTAAAATATAGCTATGTGCACATAGCTATGTGCACTTGGAATGTCGGCGTTTTGTCTTAAATTTCGCCTACTTTGATTACCATATCGTTATCCTACTGCTTTGTTAATGCTATTACTTCTCTTTTTTCAAGGTGAAGAACGCCCTCTTTGATGATGAAAGTTGTAGGACAGATGCTACAATGAGGAAACTGGAACATGTTGCTATGGCTTTATCCAAGAAAAAGACAGCACCGGAATATGTAAATAGGCCTACTAAACGACGATTCATTCGCCGCTGAGTAGAGATGAAATAAAGTGTACCTGAGTCTGACTTTCAATCATCGGCAAATGTTTGTGAATGAGATTCCTCAGTATCGCCAAGTTGTTTTAAGTTTCTATAGCGACATAAAAGGTGTCACGCCTTGCAATCGCGAAGACTTCATTAACAAAATTCAAACCCTTCTGGATGTAGTTACCACTACTAATTATTATGCAATTTAACTTTTTCATATATTAGTATAGCAAATTGTTTCTTTTTTAGAATACCTTGTCATTAATGACCAATGTCCAGAAATTTTCACTTTTAAACACAAGTATGGTAGTAGAACTAAGCATGTAAATATTCCGGGTTTGTGAACATTCAACGAATTTTTGGAACATATTCCTCTTGATGTTTGTGATAATGTTTTGTACAATTTTAGAGGGCTTAGAAGAAATTTAAAACGCTGGGGCGGATGCAAAGTTAGGGGAGGGGGTGCTGGAGTTCAGACGGTGCGATCGCAGCCCCCTAAATATGTATTAAGAAAACTAATTGTTGTATTGTATTGTTGATATGAGTTACCGGAAAGATTTTAAAGGTATGAGAGTGCAATTTCCGGGCACCTAGATGTTCATTATTATTCTCAAAATGTTCGCACCTCATCCTACCATGTTAGGGCTGTGGTGGTGTCGACTCCCACGCACCCCCTACCACCAGATTCTGCATCCGCCATAAGAAACGTGTATAATATTCGACGATTCATTCGCCGCTGAGTAGAGATAAAATAAGTGTCCCAGAGTCTGACTCTGTGATGGCGAGGAATGAAGGAGATTTGTTTTTTTTAAAAACTAGAATGATGTCATCGACATTATATTGGATCTTTGAGACTTGATACAATTTTCATCTAGAAAGTTACTTGCTTTTGAAAATTACGTTAAAAATAGAAAATAGAGGTGGATCACCGCACCGAGAAAATAAAAAAGAAATTACGTCCATAGACTCCAAGTATGCGTAGTTTCTTAGATTTAATAAAAATAAAGCCGGCACAAAGTTTAGGCTTATTAACATTGCGTCTGTTTTTATTCTATATAAATATATTCGGAATATGAAATGAATAATAATAATATCAATAATGGTAATAGGGTGCTGTTATGAAATAAAGATGCGGAAAATTATAATTCATAATAATTGATAATTTGTCTCAAATGAGATTGTAGCCAAGTCCAATCTTCATGATAACGATAATAATAAACAAAATAATATTGATAATGATATGACATAATATGATATTAATGATGATATTACGCAGACAATAATACATATGATTATATTTACTTTAATTATGAAAAATTATTTAGTGATTGTATACAGTTCATTAGCATTCTCTAGGTTCATGGGCATAGACCATTTTGTTGCCTCTCCCTTCTTAATTTTTAGTAATATGAGCACAGGTTATACTTTCATCTATGGACTGACTGTACAATGACATGTCACTCATTATATTACTGAAGCTTTTATAGATGATTCTTTGTTGTAAGTTGACTAACACTTGGGTTTGAACAAGTACGTAATTTTTAAGAACGTTATTACAAATTATACGCACAGTATGTTCATTTAGTTTTATAATAATTATTATGTTTGTTCAATAAATTGTAGGACTTATTTTGTGACATCAAAATAATATTTTGTTGTTTGTTTTAGTTTTTTTTTTTTAAATTCATGTACCGGTAAATGACTTGTGGCCGAGTTGATTTGTGGCCGAGTTGACTGTAGGCGAACTTTTTGTGGCCGAGTTGACTTGTGGCCGAGTTGACTGTGGCCGAGTTGGATCGAATTCAACAAAGGTACATGATTAGAATCAAAAGAATTTAAGCTAACAAAAACATAGGCCAATCCAAAACAAGTCTACGTTATATTAGGCCTATATTGAAAAAAAATGTAAACTTTTCAAAAATTCGGCCAAATATAGTTTGGCCGTGACTTTTCAAACGTTACGGCCGGGAAATTTTTATACGGCCGGATTTGAGGAATCTGGCCGTCAAAAATAGGCCAAATGGCAACCCTGCAACTGCCGCGCGTTCTGGCTCCGGACATTCGTATTCAAAGATACTAGTTTCTTTGTTTTTAGTGAATCCTGCCCTCTATCGGATGGACTAAACGATTTCTGATTGATGAATCGATGATAGTATTTATTAATCACAGCTTGATCACAGAAACTCTGATGATTCCGTTCGGACACATCCAAGGATACACCAACATGGTATCGGACTTCCAGAATTAGCTTCGACCACAGGGTATGTCATTAATTAATTGATTAAATATTATTGAAGTGTAAGCTACGTGTGTTAAAATATAAATTCGGCCAATAGGACTATAACACACACACACTAAAAAAAGAAGAAAAATACCAATTGGACAGGAAGAAGCTTGGTACATGTCCTGTACTTTTTACTCATGGATCACTTCTGCTCGCGTCAGACAATTGATTGAAAGAAAAGAGAAAATTATAATCATGATCTTGTGGTTTAGGCCTACACATCAACTCACAGTCAATTTGAAAAGTAAGTACTATATAGTTAGAATACAACATTATTGTCCAAATGGCTCCCAACTTAACTCAACATAGGGGCGGAGTGCCAGGCTCCCCAGGCACAAGTGGCCCAGACATTGTAATTTAAAAAAATATATAATGTAAACTATAATATCATAGTTTCATTCAATGGGGCCCGACATTTTTAAATATTAACAATATACTGGCCTAGCATCATCATACAGAAAGCATAGGACCTGTATCTTTTTTTTTAATTTGAAGGATGCAATTGCATACCCACTAAGTGTGATTTTTACAAGGCTGTTTAGAGAATGTAGGTTCCTGATTGTTGGAAGGCGAATTATAGGCCGATCAGTTTAACGTCAATTATAGAGAAGGTTATGGAGAGAATTATTAGGGATAGGCTTTTTGAATATCTTGAGGATAACAGTCTTGTAATGAGCAGTTTGGGTTCCGAAAGGGGCGTTCTTGTGCTTTGCAATTAAGCCCAGCTTCTTGAAATTCTGGAAAGTGGATAGGTTATCTTTGATGATGACGATAATTTTGATTGCATATATCTTGATTATTCATAAGCGTTTGATAGTGTGCCGCACCGCAGGTTATTGGTTAACTTAAAAGGGTATGGCATATCGGGTGAATTACTTGGGTGTTTACTAGCAAATCGGTCACAACGTGTAAGTTAATGGGCATTTGTCTTCTAAGTCATCGGTATTAAGTGGAATACCACAAGGTTGGTCCGATTTTGTTTACTTTATTTATTAATGATTTGCCAAACTTTATCCATTCAAATATTCGTTTATTTGCCGATGATACGAACATTTATAATGTGGTAAACGATGTGGAGGAGGCTTATGTATTTCAGAGGGACATTGATAGAGCATTTCATTGGACTAGAATTTGGCAGTTACCATTGAATGACTCCAAGTGTAAAGTACTCTATTACGGTAGAAAAAATCCTAGGTGCGTATATCATAATAATGGCAGGTAACTTGTTAGGGGTGGTTGAATATGAAAAAAAGACTTGGGGGTTACTTTTGATTCTGGATTGGTTTTTAAATTGCATATTGCAAATATCTGTAAGCCCCACTGTCATCATCCGCTAAAATAAGGGTAAGTGCATCACTGACGTTGAATGTTTGCTACCGATGTGGCAACTTTAAAGGCTTCTGCACGTCCAGTTGAGGCGACAATAGGGAATTCCCCTAAAATTACTCATTAAATAGAGGGCAACATCACCAAAGTCAGTCCGTATATAATTCAGAGTGGGCTTCCTGCGACAGTAAATCGGTGCGTATATTATACGGACCGCGACTTCGAGGGGTTAAGAAGGAGGGCTTCTTGAAATTATATAAATCAATAGTTAGACCAACTTTAGAGCTGTCTCTTATACACATCTAGATGTGTATAAGAGACAGAAGGAATGATACTGTTAATTTAATAAAGCGTTCCAAAAGTAATTAATTTTTATAATACAATAGCTTGTAAAGTTAAAACGAATGAGAAATATTTTGGCGATATGTAAAATCGCAACCTGCTGGTAATTAAGGCAGGCATTCCAAACCTTGAAGATACCGCGGGTAAGGTTGCAGTCCATGATCAGGACAAGGCCGAAGTATTTAATTCCTTTTTCAGCAGTGTTTTTTGTAATGAGGATCTGGCATACATTCCTGTTTTTGATAAGGTTACAGATGCTTCACTGTCTGAATTTTCCAGTGTGGATAGTATTTTGCAGATTTTGCCTTAGTTTAGATAAGTCTGCAGGTCGGTTTTCATTCCCGGGTCTTGATTGAGATAAAGGATGCTATTGCATACCCACTAAGAGTGATTTTTACAAGGCTGTTTAGAGAATGTAAGGTTCATGATTGTTGGAAGAAGGCAATTATTGTACACATTTTAGGGGGAAAGCCTTGAATTTTGAAGAAATTAAAAGTAATTAAAAGACACTTCAGAAGTCGGGAAAGCTCATTTCCCGCCTTCTAGGAATCAAAATATTCCCGGGGAAACGCAGACACCTTTTTCTTTGGGGTTCATTGATTCATTGAATTATTTTCAAGAGGGGTAACACCTTGAATTTTGAAGAACTTAAAAGTAATTAAGACACCTCAGAAGTCGGAAAAGCTCATTTCCCGCCATTTAGGAATCAAAATCTTCCCGGGGGATAACCCCGGACCCCCCTTTTCTTTGGAGCTTATCGATTCATTGAAAAAAGAATATGTATGCAACTACTTTTTTTTTTATGTATGTATACACACATAACCGGCCAATTTACTGTAATAAGAATGAGAAACTTTAACTGACCGTTTTCAAGAGGGGGAAAACCTTGAATTTTGAAGAACAAAGTCATTAGACACCTAGCTAAAAGATATACTTCAGTCGGGAAAGCTCATTTCCCACCATTTAATCAACATTTTCCCAGGAAGAACCCGAACCTTCCTTTTCTCTTTGGGTTCGCTGATTCATTATAATAATTTTCAAGAGGGGGAAACCTTAAATTTTGAACTTAAAAGTAATTAAAAGACACCTCAGAAGTCGGGAAAGCTCATTTCCCGCCTTCTAGGAATCAAAATTTTCCCGGGCGAAAACCCCCGGACACCCCCCTTTCTTTTAGGGATTTATGGATTCATGAAAAAAAAATCGTATGCAACTACTTAATTTTTTTAAATGAATGTACACACACATCAGGCCAATCTGCTGTAATAACAATGGGAAAAATTTACCTGACCGTTTTCAAGGGGAAAACCTTGAATTTTGAAGAACTTAAATTAAAGTCGCTAAAAGATACTTCAGAAGTCGGAAAAGCTCATTTCCCACCATTTAGAAATCGACATTTCTCCTGGGATAACCTGTACCTCCCTTTTCTCTTTGGGTTCATTGATTCACCATAATAATTTTCAAGAGGGTAAAACCATGAATTTTGAAGAACTTAAATGTAACTAAAAGACACCTCAGAAGTCGGGAAAACTCATTTCCCGCCTCCTAGGAATCAAAATTCCCCCCTTTCTTTGGAGCTTATCGATTCATTGAAAAAAAGAATACGTAAGCAACTACTCATTTTTTGTTATGTATGTATCACACATAAGGCCTATTTCCTGTAATAACAATGGGGAAAAAATTACCTGACCGTTTTCAAGAGGGAAAACCTTGAACTTTTAAGAACTTAAAAGTAGCCTCAGAAGTCGGAAAAGCTCATTCCCCGCCATCTAGGAATCAAAATTTTCTCGGGGGAGAACCCCCGGACCCAGGCCTTTTCCTTGGAGCTTATCGATTCATTGAAAAAAGAATACGTTATGCTACTACTATTTTTTTTAAATGTATGTATACACACATAACCGGTCAATTTACTGTAATAAGAATGAGAAAGTTTATCTTTTCAAGAGGGGGAAACCTTGAATTTTGAAGAACAAAGTCATTAGACACCTAGCTCAAAAGTCGAGAAAGGTCATTTCCCGCCATCTACAAATCAAAATTTTCCAGGGCGAGGACCTCCGGATCCCCTTTCGTTTTTGGGAAAGATGTTGACCCCCACCCCTAGGTTTGATTCCAGATCTGCATGATTTATATTCCCATTTATCCCCCCCCCCCCACTTTTTACCCCCCCCCCCCCACTTTGAAAAACGTTCCGCCGGCCTTGAAGAAAGTTGGCCTATAAACTAGTTATTATGTTGGTTTTGTCATAAAATTGTCTGAAATATTTATTCAGTCATGACGTTTCTATGTTGTCTGACAACACAGTTAACAGTTCGTAAATGCCATAAGCTCTGAGTGCGAGGGGAGAAGCCCCTTTGGACCCCCGGCCACCAGGACCGATCACCCCTGACTCCGACCAGGGCCTACGCGGCCCTGGCCCCCAGCGTCTGTTTGTTCGCTTCGTACGAAAAAACTTAACGGTCAATTTGCTCGCTTACAGACCTGTATGCAAGATGGTGGGATGCAGAGGGTGCAGACGCACCCCCTCCCAAATTTCAAGAGGGCCATTTTTTCAACCTATTATTCCATAAAATCGCTCCTAATTATTGCTAAATTCTATAGTATATATTAAATTTTATATTAAGCTCTTCTAACCGTTGATTTTTTAATAGGCCCTACTGTGGTATGAAATTTGCAGGGGTGGCACCAGAATTTTCCCGACAGGGGGCCAATGCCCCCAACGAGGGGTCAGATTTCCTCGACGAAAGAAAATTGGGCATGGTCGGGCATCGATTAAAAGGTTTCGAAAATCCTGCCTACGGGCTTGCGGCTCATTAGGCCCCCTTCCCCAATAAGAGTGAGCGCCAGGGCCCCAGAAACTTCGTGACGCCTCTGCTTATAAAAATCATGTCGAGTGACCCTTTCTAAACCAAACGACGTCACAAAGCATTTATTTTTTCCTTGAATAAGGCCTCCTAAATGAATAAACAAAACTAATGAAATCAATAATATTCTCAACACATTCTATTAAGGTTCTACTCCTTTAAATTACATTTTTCAATCTGGTTCATGCATTTCGACGGTTATAGTTCTTGTAATTCCACTTTCATTGAAATAAAGGTGCATTTATTTGAGTATATACGATATTCAAGGGGGCGGGATGGGAGGTTTTTTAAGAATATAACCAGTTATATCTAGGTAACAGTGTAATATTTACATGTATGCCTATAAATGTTAATTATTGGGAGAAAATTAAAAAATTGTTCTAAATTTTATGATAAAAGCATATGCGTCGCGGATGGGACAACATTATTTTGGACATGACTTTTAGAAAGGTTTTCATATTCTAATATTTCTCCTCATCTGAAAAAGATATTAAATTTTTATTTGCTTTATACTATCACCAGATGATTCTTTTACATGCCTAAATATTTAGCAATAAATCATAACTGTAATTTTATGAAAACATGAATTATGTGCCGTCACAGACCGGACATTCCTGATGTCGCGGAAGGGACATTTTTTCCAATGAGAGAAATACCATAGTTTTCAATACAAATAAAAAGGAATTATCTTTCTGACAACAATGCAAAATTGCACTGATGTCTCTTATATGGACCACACTCAAAGTTCCTACACAATGGCTTGGTAGCAGAATAACTTGTATATATAAGAAAGGTAATATGAATGAAGCAAAGAACTATAGGGGTATCTCTATTGGAGCAAATTTGAGTAGAATTCTATCGAAGATAATAACAGAGCGCCTTAAAGGTGCGTACGAGAAGATCCTCAATGAAAATCAGTATGGCTTTCGTGCTAATCGATCAACAGCTGATGCCATTTTTATTACCAACAATGTAATACAAAAACATGATGGAACACTTGTAGTAACATACGTTGATTTGACAGCTGCTTATGACCATATCCCACGTGATCTACTCATCAGGGTTTTATTGATTAGAACGGGAGCCAAACACATTGCTGATCTAATAAAAGCCATGTATGAAGGAACAACTGCATGTATTGCCGGAATGAAAACGTTCTTTGATGTGTTGGTTGGATGTCGACAAGGAGGACAAGAATCTCCCTGCCT